CGACTATCGATACGAAGTCTGATGAGCGGGTATTATCTATGTTAGTTCTATGATTTACAGGATTGGATTCTCGTAAAAAATTGAGATGATTCAACACCCTAGATCAGCATGGGAGAAAGCAATCTCTCATTCAATAGTATAGGTATTACGAGAATGCCCTACTTCAAGCGCCGTCTAGGGACAGAGTCTTCTCAGATGACATGAAACAATAAACGCGGAAGCAGAGGTAAAGCCCTCCTTCTTCTGAGTCAAGACATCTGCCCTTCAGAGTCTGCGTGTGGTGCATAATATCGAGAAAAAGGTCATCAGCAAAATGCAAAAAAATGCTCGAAATAACTTTAACTGAAGCCTGGCCAAATGCAAGATATCTCGAATGCAATGGGAATCAATCGTGAGTTTTGAGGCAACCTCAAAGCGTGATAATATAGCAACCTATGTAGGCAATTTCATAGTTGTGAGAGGAAATCAGGTCTATTGTCCTTAAAGTGGTTGATTGAAGACAGCAAATTGGAGGAAAAAAACAGACAAAAATAGACAAGAGCTTGGGTAGAAATATAGAAAAAATAATTTGCACATATCTGATTGAAGCGAATAGATAAATAGAGTGGATTATGAAGACGTTAAAAAACAAAATATATATCGGGTCTGTAGTGAACTTAGTGCGGTAAGAATGGGTTGGAGAAGAGTATGCGATGTAGGGAATTGGGGAGTATATTGAAATTTGGAAGACTAGAGCTTCATTTGTATAAATCAAAAAGGCAGGGAAGGGCCAAAGGTTATCACAAAGCCTGCAGCTGCTAGCACCTAAATTGCAACTGTCTGTCCGTTCTTGTGGTGGAAAGGGAGAAAAAAGGGATCATATCGGCTCCAAATTAAGGCTGGTCAGAAGTGTGTTTTGTCGGATCAGACGAAAAGAAGAGCCATACTGCTAACAGGAGGGCCCAAGCGTCCACGTCCCATGTTCTCCGCCCCAGCTTTCATGATTAGGCTGTCTCAGTCGTTCCTGAAGAGTTCTTTGATAGGCTTGGCGGTCGGGTGGAGGACTAAGGTCCCATAGAGCAGATCAGAGGGCAAAGCTGTTACGACAGTAAATACAAGCTGCTAAGACAACAGCCATAACTGAATATATGCAAATATCCAAATAGTTATACATACCCATATAATAGTATAAATAAAATCTGTTTAAAAAGTATCGTTTAGCGAATGAGCCAATAGGGCTTATAGTTTATACGACCTAGATGGTGGAGCCCATTGGATGCAATGCATACCGTCCGAAGAGAGAGGAAGGAGGAGAGCAAAAGAGGAAAAAGCGAAAAACGGAAAGCGATAAGCGTTAAGCGAAAGGCCAATAGCGAAAAATCGAAAAGAGATTCGTTGTGATAAGGGTTTCCGGCCGAATATTTATCCTGACAGGAGATTAGAAGGTCTCTTTTATTAGGCTCCACTGACCGTGCCGACCCAAACTTGCGGTGTCGGAACTCGCTCTCCAGGGTTGTCGGGCCCCAACTGTGCCGCTTCCCACTCCACCAGAAGCCCGTGACGGCTCCTCAGAGCAGAGCCATCCCCAGGAAGCAGGCAAGAGTGGTGGATGGATGAAGACGTCGGAGGGGAAGGTGAGGAAAAAGAGCTATAAAAATTATATCATCTAACCT